TTGGTAATCGAGCGTTTGCTAGCTACGCTACTCCTTTTTGACATTTTAATCGGTCCAACATTCGAAGTAGGTTGATCCTCTATGGCTTCTCGCATGCTCGCTTTAATCAGTGCCTCCGACGCGCACCGCTTTGTCTACCAAGCTCCGAGGAAAGCTAAGGTCGTCGACGTTTACGATTATCGTGTGGCGTCCTACGGGGAGAGAGAGAGCCTCTCTATCGAATTCTAGAATCAGTGTATCGCCCTCTTAGCTTAGCTCAAACCTGCAGCTCGACTCGTCGCTCGATCTCGTGGCTCTTCCTCCCGTAAATCATTCCTCGGCTTGTCCCGCGTTTCCGTGCGAACGATTATTTATTTTCCCGTAGTAAATCGGCCGTAAATAGCGTCCCGTTCGAATTCCCTCGGTTCCTCGTCGTTTTTATTTTGCTACGGATGTTCGACAGCCTCCCTCTTGTAAACACACGTATGCAGGCATCACGCGTACTCCTTCGTGTCCGATCGATGTGCACGCACACGACGTGTAGCCGTGCACGGAGCCCAGCCAGTCGTTTATTGTCATGCTTCCGACGTTTCTGCGAAATTTTCGGGGACTCGTGTCCAGTGAATCGATATTAATTTCGGGGAACCCAGTGACACACTCGGCCATAAGTTTATTACGAGATTCGGAAAATTGGTAAACGATCTTTTTATCGGTATCACGCTCGATGGTAGAAATTTTAATTAGCTAATAGGAAAAAGGGCTGAAGTGAATAATAATTTTAAACATTTGAATTAATGACTGTGCATAGATTTCGAAATGTTATTTTCATTTTGCATCACAATGAAAACGAATGTTAGCCTTCACGTCCGAGAACGTGTTAATGTGTTTTACATAGCGAATATTTTACATATTCAACGTTCCCACTGTTCGCTCGAGTGAAATATTCTAGTAACAAACCAGCTTCAAATTTCTGCTTAACGCAGGCGAATCTCGGATTCCCATAGACACTTCTGCCTCTTGTGTTCTGTTTTCGGGATATTTTTCTACACGGTTCGCGTGTTGGAATGAATATTTCTTTTCTAGCTGGAAAATAGAAAAATCTTTTTGTCTAGTCTATTAGTGTTAGAAATGTCAATGTTGCAACAATTAATGGCTTGGGAGGGGCGAAGGGAAATGGCGGTTTTGTGGCGTGTACGCGAGTGTATCGTTTCTCTTAATGAAATTTTGTTTCCTCGGAGGAAAAATGGCGGACGACGTCTAATTCGAAAATTTTCGTTTGAATAACGTGCTATGTGAATACGATAAAATATTAAATAAATATTTCTCTTCGCTATTACTTTATCATTAAAAATGACGTCTAATTCGGAAATTTTTATTTCAACAATATACTATATGAACACGATGAAATATTAAATATTCCTCTTCACTATTACTTTATCATTAAAAATGAGGCCTAATTCAAAAATTTTCGTTTGAATAACATACTATATGAACACGATGAAATATTAAATGAATATTTCCCTTTTTTCACCATTACAAAATTTCGTTCAGAAATGTGAAGATTCTATAGCTATAGAAAAATTGCTCGTCGCGCTCTATATGTCGGGTTCCATTGAAATTAGAACTTTAGGGTTGGATGAGTTTCCTTATAAGTTGATCTAGTTTCTATATCAACGGTCCCTGTATGTTTTAACGATTACAGCCTCGAAACGTTTAATGCTCGGGTCACAGACACGCGCGCACCCGGTCGCGTCGGTGAGCGCATTCGCTCGGTTGCGCCTTTAAATGCTCTCGCCCATATGACTGTTCCTACGTCGAAAGTGTGACGGCCGTACGCGGCCTCTTTGTCACAGGGGCAGACTTGAACGCTTATCGGGCTATGAATAGACGTACTGATTTCCTTTCAGCTGTCCACTTTGTTGGGGGCTGGTTTGCACCTTGCTACGTAACTGTGACACATTAACACGTTCGCGGACAGTTGAAATTTTAATGTAACGCGAAAATAGGAGAAATGGGAATCTTGTACTTCGAGGGGTAAAGTGAATAATTATTTGAAAAGTTTAAGGGTATATAGAATTGAATTATTATAGAATTATTGGTAAATTATTATCATTATTATTCATAATTACTATGAATTATATATGATTGAATGCAAATGCCATACTTCGATTAAAAAATGTTAAATATTTCTAACGAGAAACTTCCGAGTGCAAAGGGTTAAAATAGTCCAGATCGTGGGGAGTCCTTAACGAGAAATTCATTCTGGTCATTATGGAATTTCAAGGACTCCCGACAACTGGTTGCTATCTCTATTAAAAATTATTCCATGTTTTATGAATTTACATGAACCACCAGCAGAGATACTTATCCGATATACACTGAAAGTCTTTGTAAATTATAATTCATGGTTGACAGATCTGGATTTTAATTTTAATTTTTATATATATATTTTCTAATATATTTTCAATATATATATTTTCTAATATATTTCTACTATATATATATTTTCACGTATAATAATAAATATTTTCGTTAATCGCGGAAAACGATCTGCTCTAGTTACATGCTCATTGGACGAAAGCTAAATTACCTCCACCAATGAGATTCATTGTTGGAGACTATACCGCGCGGATAAAGACGATTCATACACGGCGGCACAAAGAACGTTAGTTGCATGACAATAAGCTTCTTGTTCGAGTGGCGTCTCGAACGTTAAGAAATATCGATGACATAGGAAATTACGTACCGAGGAATTGAATTGCGAGTAAACATGTTCCTTCGCTTGTCGGAGCATCGCGTCGTCTACGCTCGCTTCCATTGTTTAGTGTCTTCTGGCGTCGACTGGTTTTAGCTTGCTAGTTGGCTATCTTATATTTTATATTTCACTGTGTAGTGAACACTTTCATCAGAGACATTTTCTTACCTATTGTCTACAAGCTGCTAATATTCATATATTTGTAATACACTTACTGAAATTTAACTAATTAATTTATATATACTATATGGAAAGTACCATCTTATTAATTATTAAAATACCATCTGTAATTAGCAAATATTTACCATGTAACAAGCTCCCATTTAACCCTTTCTCGACAGGTGACTCGATACAGTGAAATTATGAAATAGAATATCTAATATTCTAAATTCAACTATTACTATGTGAAATATTTAATTAACGCTAAAACTAGAGCAGTCAATATTACTGGTTTCGACGTTTTTATTTCGTAATTATTGATATCTTGAAAGCACTGAATATTCGAAATGATCTTGAAAGTAAATAGTTTAAATATTAACAATTATTACAATTTTCATAGGGATTACATATTAATCGTATTAAATCGGTAGTTCTTTGTTTATCCGTGAATTATCGTTGAATGAATTTCAAACAGTGTCTATGTGGTGAAATGTTGAATTCCAGTGAAAAAGGAATCTTGATTTGGCACAGTGAAACTATAAAACTTAATATTTAATATTGAACTGTACATAATTCATTGGTGTGTGAAATATTCTGATAAAATAGCTTTGTTTCACAATTCACTTGTGACTTCTCGCTGAATTTTATTGAAACGAATATATTTTGTAACTTTGAAATTACAATGACGTTGAACATAAAAGCCTGTGTACAAAAGTTCAAGTTGGTTAATTATTTAATGTCGTTTGTCATTTTGCAATAAAAAATTACGTCAATCTAACTCTACATACTGATGTGTGACTTCAAAGTCACACGAGCCTACAGAGGGTTAATTTCAAAAAATATTTTTTTTGTCTAGTTAGAAAATTTTATTCCCAATAAAATACTGCAATGTGCAAAGGGTTAATTTTCGATCGCGACGATTACACTCTGAATAACGCGAATCCCTGCGTGAGCGTCCGTGGTTTAAGTTGAGAGTTCCTGCTATGCTCGAGTGTTATCGGCCTTCGGAAGTTGGCAGCCTTGTTCTAACTCGTAGGGAGCAACCGTCACGGCGCATCTGTGACGTGTCACGGGGACAGAATAATATGGAGTTGTTCAAAGTTGCTCGGGGAAGGATAGCGACAATTTACGTCATTCCATTGCTATCTCTTTGTTCGCTGTCGTCACGCATCACCATTTTCAGCTTTGACTCACACGAAAATTAGTAACAACTTCATTTTCGTCTGCTGTAGACAAATTCCCAACGGTTGACGTACGAAGGGACATCGATCTTTCTTCTTTTTTTTCTCTTCGCTCTGGAATTAAGGTGACCATCGTATTTAGTCCTCAGTAATTAATTAAATAATACAAAAGTAGGTAAAATTCAAACTATACTTACGAATATTTCATATCTCCCTTTTTAAGGTTAGGATTTCTAACATTTCGTCAACGATGATTTTTCAAGTGTTCAGCTTCGTTAATGATAAGTTGATTAATTATTAGAAATAACCTTTAGAATTTACCTTTTCTTTAATGTTAAATGAAACGGTAATCTAGTTAGATACTGATAAAGTACCAACGTTTCCCATACGCCTGGTTTACCATTAAAAAAATGGCAAAACTGTTATAACTGTTTCTGCGTCGGCATTTCCGGTGTCGTGATCCCAGAATTCCAGGGCTCCATAA